CGCCTTGGGCCCCTTAGGAACCGCCGCAGCGAAGATTTCCGCCGAGAGACCCGCCCCGGGCTGGGTGTGTGAGTTTGCGGCCAGAGGCTGCCCGCCAGCGCCCGCATCGCGCCGGCCTCCTCCCTGCGGAGCTCTGAAGAGCGCCCCCAGCTCCGCGCCTCCGCGCCTCGGAACCCGGGCTTCAGGGCTGTGGGCCCGCGCGGCCGGCCCTGGCCCTGCGAGAGGTGAGTGCCACCACCCGTTCGCCCCCTCTCCTCGTCTCCTGCCCTCGCCTTCCCCGGCGTTCTCACCCTTCTCCACGGTGCGCAAAGCCCGCGGCTGGCTCGGGCCCCTCTCCCCGAAGTGGGCGGGCGGGCGGGCAGGTGGCCGACAATGCCTCCATACCTGTTGGCCCGGGCAGAGGGCATCCCAGCTCGCCGGAGCCACCTTGCTCTCCCTTGGGGTGGCTCCTGGACGCCGCCCGGGGGCGTGGGGCTGGGCAAGGGCCATGGGTGTCCCACTTGGGTGTCCCGGAACTGTGCGGGCTGTAGGTTGGGGGCCAGGCGCCAGGGCGGAGGGAAGGGACGGGAGGGCAGGGAATCCGAACCGCAGCCCAGGTGGGAGGGCAGCACGGCTTCCAGGTCTCCGGGAAGCCGGGAGTCATGGCGATCAGGCGAGGCGGGAGGCGGGGGGCAGGCTTCCCTCCACCGCCAGCCCCTAGCGCGGGCTGCTCGCCTGCCTGGGCGCACGCTCCTCGCCTCCACCCGATCGGGGTCCGGGCCCTGCGGAGTTCGGGATAACCGGGGAGGCCTCTGGCAGCCCAGACCGGGACCTGCTGACGCTCAGCTGGCCGCTGGGCACCAAGCAGCTCCGTGGGTCCGGCGCCCGGGCAGCGGCAGGCTCCGGCTCTCAGGGTAGTTTGGGCTGAAACTCGTGTCCCAGCCTCCCCGGACTGGCGCCACAGGGAGTGAACTTCTCAGACTTGGCCGGAGGGCTCCCAGGCAGCAGCAGGTAGTTCTGGGGCCGGGCTGGGGCCAGGGTGAGCGGGGAACGCCTCTCACCTGCGGGACGGTGGTGGGGAGGGTGGATCCAGGGTTCGTTCGTTCGTTTCGCCTCGGAGGCGCCAGCCACGTGCGCCCTCTGCCCCCGCCGGGCCCGCCGCGGCGCTTGCACAGCTCTTTTTGGTTTGGGGAGGAGTGTGTGGGGAAGGCGCCTTCCTTGCCGTTGCCCAGGTTCCCGCTCTCAGCCCAGGTGAAACGGCGACTGCAGTTCCTTGGGTGCCAAGACCGGGGCGCCATCCCAGCCCTTGAGCCTGCGTGTTCCCAGAAAAAGGAGACTTAACCTGGGCTCAGGGAATAGGGGCTTCTTGCTGACTGTGTGTGTCTATGTTGGGTCGCGAAGTCTGATTAGTTGTAATAATAATTACATTCTAGAGTGGATAAGAGCGGCCTCGTGATAGAGGTGAGGTGACCTCTAGAAGAAGGGTGAAATTTCTGCCCTCTGTATGTCCAGACACACCCAGCGTCTGTGCAAATGGGAACACTCTTAACTCTCAGGATTTCCACATTTTGCTTCTTTAACTGCCGACTTTTAGTAAAAAAAGATAAACTCTTTTTCAAGTCAGGCATCAGAGCTTTGGAAAGGGTTTTAAAGCCATTTGGTGTGAAATTGTCTGGAGGCTAGAGCAGGACAGGTTTTTTTTTTTTTTTTTTCCCAAATCAAAGCCTGACTGCACCTCTCCTTGGCTTGCTGGTGGTTTTAATTTCATTTTTGGGGCGGGGGGCGGGGCGGGGAAGGGGAGTGTTGATGGAGTCCCAATTTTATTTATCTGAGGCTTTGACTGAAGCTAGATGGCAAGTGAGACCTCCCTCCCCCGAGCTTGCAGCTCTGTTGTGGCACCCAGTCAGGATTCATCCCTGGGCCCCAGAGCTGCACAGCCAGCGCTGCTAGTCCCTTAGGCGGTTGGTGGTGGCCCTGGTGAGTGCCCCGTGGATGCTCTGGGCTGCGTTCCCCCAGCAGCAGGGCCCTCCTTTCTGAGTTCACTGCAGACCTGTGGGTTTTTCATGGCACCAGCTGCCGGGAGAACAGCGATGTTTACTGAGAAGCTGGTCTAGGACACTGACATTGGTTACGGGATAGATCCAAGTGGAGTAATGAAAACAAAACTCGGAGGAAACCCAATCCCTAGGCTATTTTATTGGAGGAGCGCTAAATCCTCTTAGAACGATCACCTTTCTCTGAACTCGGAATGTAACTGGTGCCAGTAATCAGGCCTTCGGTGAGGGTACAGAGTAAGGGCTTTTTAGAAAGAAAATAATTTAATTCAGCTGGTTCTGTGGAGAAACTGATGGGCATGACTTGATGAAGACACACCGCTCTGAGGGGCGGTGGGGATTGGCATGCAGTGAGGGTGTGTGTATGTGTGTGTGTGTGACAGCTGCTTGGTTGACTTGAACATTTATCTCCACGGTGGGAGGACTCTGATCAGTGCTTAATACTGGGGAGTGTTGGGCTCCAGTCTAGAACTTTCTTTTCCGTGGCGAGTGGACAGTGTGCTCCGAGGCCACCAGCCAGTGAGAGAGGTTTCTGTGCACTGGTACTTATGCCTGCAGTCCAGGCTTTGCCAGCCCAGTCCACCACCGGCCGCCCATGCCGTACTCTTGGGTGGCAGAAAGGCCGCTAGTTCTTATGCCGAGAGGAATTCTCCTGGCGGCTCTGATAGAACTTTGGACGTTTCAGGTCTTTGAAGACACTCTTTATTCAGAGTTCGGAGCCTCTGCTTGCTGCAAGACGCTGTCACACATCTGAGCTCACATAATCCTCATTTTTCATATTTGGAAAGGGATGCTAAGGGAGGTTAGGTTCAATAACTTTCCTGGGGCTGCGTAGCTTGTGGGGAAGAGGCAGGGTTATGGTTTGATTCCAAGAGGCCGGGCTTTCTGATTCTAAGTCCCCGGCTCTTTCCACACTGCTGCTTATGATCCGAAGGGTATTTTAGTCACCTTTGACCTTTGGTGCCTCTTTCAGAGTCAGACCCGTAGTGGGTGCCCTGTCTGTGTTTGCTGAGTGAATCTAGGTCAGCGTCTCATTCCTCATTCCTGATGAGGATGCTCAAGCTCTGGAGGAGCCGGACTTGTGTGCAGTGGGTCAGGGGAGGAGGCTCTGCCCTCCCGGGGGGCCCATATCCCAGCCTCGGGAGGTGCAAGACCAGGTTTGGTTTGATTGTGGGCTGCTGCTTGTTTGTTCGCATGCTCCCTGTCAGCGTGCTCACATTAGTGTGGGGTGGGTGGCATCTTTGCCCTTCACTGGAGGCTTAAACTAATGTAGTCAGAGTGTCTGAAATATCCTTTTATGATGAAAAGGCAGCGCAGTGAACAATAGCCTCCGATTCCTGTTAAAAACCGTGCGTCCTGGCTCTCAAGCGATGAAACCGTCTTCCAGATGGGCAGAGCCTAGACCAGTGATGGCGAACCTTTTGAGCTCGGCGTGTCAGCATTTTGAAAAACCCTAACAACTCTGGTGCCGTGTCACATACAGAAATTTTTTGATATTTGCCACCATAGTAAAACAAAGATTTATATTTTTGATATTTATTTTATATATTTAAATGCCATTTAACAAAGAAAAATCAACCAAAAAAATGAGTTTGCGTGTCACCTCTGACACGCGTGTCACAGGTTCGCCATCACTGGCCTAGACTGATCCCTCCGTCACTCAGTTTCAGAGTAATTCTGAATGTGGTTAGAAAGACGGAAAATGAAAACACAGTGGTTGCATCCGACCTGCGGTTTTCAAAGTGAATTATGATTTTAATCACTTGAACAAAACCATCTAATAAGCGGTTAGTTAATATATTATCTAACAAAATGTATTCAGTGCCTGTATGTGGTATGGATATTGAGATAAATATGACACAGCACCTGTCATAAAAAATTCACAGGTGAGTGGGGAAGGCAGACCATGTATCAGGGGCACACATTTGTGGTCAGAGACAGCAGGCAGCTAGCCTAGGATGGAAGTGATGTCTGAGCTGAGCTTAAAGGGTGATTAGGAAGTGGTCAGCCTTAAACAGGTATTCTATGCAGAGGACCTAGGGTAGGCACAGGGAGAGAGGTAAGAAAACATATAGAAGATATGGGGAAGCAGCTGGTAGTTTGGAGTTCCTGGAGTTTACAGGTTGAGGCAGAGAGTGACGAGAGAAGAAGCTGGAATGATAGATGGAGGTCTTTGGTCAGGACTGGAGGTTCCACATTTCTCCATTAGGGGATGGGCAGCATGGTCAGATTTGAATTTTAGGTAAGACTTGTTGGAGACCTTGTAGAGAATGGATTTGGCAGAAAGACCAGCGGAGTGGATACCAGTGAGGTGGCTAGTGCTGAGGCCATGTGGGGTTGTGGAGCAGAAGAGATGGATTGGGCAAACGTTTAGGACAGCGGTTCTCAACCTGTGGGTCGCGACCCCTTTGGTGGTCGAACGACCCTTTCACAGGGGTCGCCTAAGACCATCCTGCATATCAGATATTTACATTACGATTCATAACTGTAGCAAAATTACAGTTATGAAGTAGCAACGAAAATAATTTTATGGTTGGGTCACAACATGAGGAACTGTATTTAAAGGGCCAGAAGGTTGAGAACCACTGGTTTGGGAGAATTCTCAGAGTTCCTGGGTTGCAAGCAACAGAAACCAACTCTGTATAACAACTAAACCAAAGAGAATGTATTAGCAGTATTGATGGGAACTCGCAGGACTGAAGACACACCTGAAAGGCCAGGCTTGGAGCAGACAGGAGTTAGGCAGAGGGGATATTGGTGGCGGGAATGGCCCATGGTTTCTCTCGGGTGATAGTATGGAAGCAAATGATCTCCAGCCTTTTCCGCCTCCTCTTCCTCCTCCATCATCATCATCATCATCATCTCATATTCTTCTGTTATATTCAAACGCACAGAGGAAATGTCCACTTGGCATAGCTTTGGGTCTTCATGCTTAGTAGCAGTTTTCTGAAATATCATTGGAATGGGGAGAGGTAGTTTTCTGAAAGATACGAATGATCCCGTGAAAACACGGCGACCTAGAAGAAGTTGGGCATGTCTTCCACAGGAAGGGATGTTGGTGAGACTTCTTGATTAATTGATGTAGGAGTAGGAGAAAGGGAAGGGTACAGCGTGACTACTGCGTTTCTGATTTAGGTAATGAGGTGGATAAAAAAAATGAAACTGTGGCTAAGACTAAACAGCTCACTTTC